ATTTCCAAGTAGGCCTCTCCACACAATTGGGATTGGGAGCTTGCATCCCCTTCTGCTGAACTCCAGCACGGGCTCCCCATGCCTGCTCACCCCACGCTGGCTCCCTGGACAGAGCCAAATGGCAGCAACTCCTCAATGCCACAGCCACCTATATGTTTCTATGGCATCCATATAGGGACAGGCAAACACTCCTTGGAATGCTGCAACTCGTTCTGGGTATCACAGCAGCATTGTGTACGGCCATTGCTAAACAACGTCCAAACAGTTTGCAGGGCTGGCATTGCTCATGCTGGGTGGCTCGCAAAAGGACCACCATAATTTTATCATATTATTGGTGAAGAGCAACAATCAGTGCCAGAAAGATAAACTGCGTTCCAGCCGTCCAGGCTGGTGCCACCCTGAAAGCTTTGGTTTTCTTATGCTACGAGTGAATTACCTGATTCTGCTCAAGCTGTTGCTACACTATTGATCCACCCCTGTGCTACAGCTTTATCATCTGATCAGCTGGGCTTAGTGCTCCTAGTCCAAACAGTGAAATTACTGAAACTTTCTTCCAATAATAAAGAAAAAAGGTAATATTCCTCAGTACTCACCTAATGGGCTTTTGAGAACCAGCTGCCTTCAAAATTCGTTTGACAAACTGCACCGTTCTTTGGGTTTATCAAACCTTGTGGTTTATCAATACTTCATAATAAATGCAAGTCTTTTTCAGACTATAAACAATGAGACAGCCAATAGTAACTTAAAGTTACCATTTCTGCACACAGCATTTGAAGGGTCAGCAAGCAAGCATGTGCTGAGCAGGAGAAAACTGCTGCCCTTTTTATTTCTGGCTAGCTGTGTGTCTTGGCACAGCCACGAACTAGGGCTTGATGAGAAAGCATTCAAATCTATACCCCCATGTCCTGGTTTCGGCAGGGATAGAGTTAATTTCCTTCCTAGTAGCTGGTACAGTGCTGTGTTTTGGATTTAGCATGAGAATAATGTTGATAACACACCGATGTTTTAGTTGTTGCTCAGTAGTGCTTACACTAGTCAAGGACTCTTCAGCTTCCCATGCTCTACTGACTGGCTGGGCATCGGTCGGCGGGTGGTGAGCAATTGCACTGTGTATCACCTGCTTTGTATATTATTATTATTATTACATTATTATTATTATTTCATTTCAATTATTAAACTGCTTTTATCTCAACCCATGAGTTTTTCTCACTTCTACTCTTCCAATTCTCTCCCCCATCCCACCGGGGGGTGGGAGGAAGTGAGTGAGCGGCTGTGTGGTGCTCAGTTGCCGACTGAGGTTAAACCACGACACCCCATTTGCAGCACAATTATAAATATTACAAGGTAAGAAGCATTTATCACCATCCACCCAGCTGAAAAATATACTTATTTGTGAAGCTTTGAGTTACAACTGACATTTGCTAGAGGCAAATGGATGTAAAAAGGAGAAGCCACTTCCCAATCACCGAGATCATCACACAGAAGCAACCTGGGGACAACCACCATGAGAAACCAGAACCACTGTGGCTTTGATCCATTAGAGACTTTTTAAAGTATCAAGCTGTATTCCCTTAGGAGTGTGTGACACTTTCCAGAAAGCACTTTCGTGGTTGTCACTGGCCCAAAATAGCTGGTTCCCACTATGTGTTTTTCCACCATGTAAGCTGAAATTTGTGTAAGAGATTGGTGCTGTTCTCCCACTGCTAAAAATTCAGATATTTTTTTCAATCTCCTTTCCATTTTGCTGACTGTGCAAGTTTTCCAGCTACATAACCAGGTTGTGGAAGGATTCAAGCCGGGGGATGCTGAGTGATCACACTGTGACATCACTCTGCCGGCAGAAGGCACCAAGACGGACACACACAGCACCCCCACAACTGCACTGTCCTCTCCCCCACACCAACTCAGGCAAACCTTGGGTGCAAGGACTACCTACCATTAATGCATAAATATTTTAAGCTTCCTAACAGGTCCCTGGTAGATCTGCAGGGCTTTCTTTGCAATCCTGTTCATAGTAGTATATACTTAAACAAAGGGGGAAAAAAAAAGTTTGTTTTTCTCCTGACATTCCTTGTTCTGCCTCACAGTGGGCATTACACTGTCCTTCCACAGCCACAACATCGGTCATTTGAACCTTGCTTATACTGAAAATGGAGCAGATGCCGTACTAAACCACAAAACTATCAGTGCCTGCTTGGAGGAGTGTACAAATTAAATCAATGTCAGGAGCAATGATTATCACCTTGATCGGTCGGTCAGTCAGTGAGTAGTTCTGCCACCCAGGGGAAAATGCTAATGTCTTGCATCAGCTTTACAAATTTCAATGGTTAAATAGCTGTAAATTATATCCCAAGACCCAGATACTTTGTTCTACTTACTGTATCCACCAAAGCCATGCTAATACTTAACTTCCCAAGGGAAAAACAGAAGTGAGCTTTTTTTACTGTTTCAGTCTGTACTGTTCTTGCTGTTGGTTCTGGCATCCACTGCCTGCTGACAGTCTAAAATCTGTATTAATTTACAGTATGTCATCCCCAGAAAATACAGATTTGAATTCTGTATTGATTTACAGTATTACATCCACAGAAAATAAAAAAGAAAAAATATGCCCCCAAATCTTCAGCACCTGTGAAAGATTTCACAAAGCCCTCTCTATGCCACCAGAATTTAGCTAAATTCAAGTTAGATTTTAGATAAACCCCACCCATTGCTTAAAAAGTGAAATTGCTTAGTGAAATTTCTCATTGGATTTCTTATGCTTATTGCATTGTGGGAAAAGTTCTGAGCACTTGGACAGCACAAAGGAGACGGTATTGACAGGTTTTGCCCTTGATAAGCATGCACAGCACTGCTGACCCATCAGTGTTAGGCCTGACAATCCTTCACAGAGCTAGACCTAAAACTGCTACAGCTGTGAGTCTCTAGAAAAAGAAACAACTTTTTTCCCCCTCAGAAAATTGAGAGTAGCTGGGAGAAAATATTTTTCTAAAAAGCCTATGACCGTATCGCGAAGTATTTAGTAAGAACCAAACTGACAGATCTTGCAATAAAAATGATGTAGTGAAATAATAACAGTATCTTAAACAGGATTAAAATATAATATTTTACTAGTTATTTCAAAGAAAAGATTTTTTTTTTCTTCCATCATTCTTACCCCTAGCTAAACTCCAAACAGCTATTTTTTTGTTAGGTACCAAGTGCAAATATGCCAGGATAAGAGAGTTAGGAGAAAGAAATACCCAGTCTTTTTTTTTCTTTTTTGTCCTTGTGTGGTAGGCTACATTGCGTTTCTCATGCCTAAAAACAAGCTCCATCCCTCAAAATATTTGGTCGGAAACCTCAGCTTGAAAAGGAGGTATTTGACAGAACTGTCACTTTTACATCAGCATAACATGTGAACAGCTTCTAAAGACAAACATTAAGAGGAATCTCGTGGAGGAGAACCTGTGCAAGGGGAAAACAAACTCAATGACAGTAGCAGAAGTCAATTTACTACCAGGGCAGAACCAACAGCCATCATCATCCAGATCTTGTGGTGAAACTTCAACTATAGCAACAGGGAAAGAATGATGATGCCAGCCATTTCCTTACTAATTGCACGCATTTATCTGTTGACTCTTCCTATCTTTCAAGAGGTATCCATATTGTTCTCACAACTAGTTTGATCTTATCCTGAAAAAAAATTTTGCATAATACAACAGGACACTTTTCTTATGTGAATATGTACCTTTCTTTTTTTCTTTCCTATATCACACTGGAGGAAAATACTTTGCTCTGTATTGCTAGTGTCTTTTAGGTCTCAGTGATTATGAACAGTGGCATTTCTCAGCTCCCTATTCAAGTTGTAACACAACACACTCACTACTTTGAGGTACAAATAGAAATTATAAGCAGATGCCAAGATTCATGTAGTGTATTTTACAAGTAATGCTTACCTGAAGTTTTTGAAACAATTCTGTCTGTGTGTTCTGACACCCTTTGCCCTTCACAGATCTGTTCATGCATATTAGCCTCATAAAATAGTCACTTTTTATCCTCTTCACCATGATCCATTTGTCTTTTCAGCGGGTTTATGTTCAACACTACTGGAGTGGAATGGTGACTGTACCGTTTAACCCAACAGCTAGCTGGGCTTGAAAATGTATTCATGCCCTTCCTATTAATTACTCTTTAATGCCTATTTCTATCACACAGACTCATATATCATCCTGGTTTATTTCGGAGGAATATAGCCATAGGATGACAATTATTGATGGAGCATAAAAACTGCAGCTAAAGACTGTATAAAGAAGAAAACAGAAGTGATGTGGGAAGAGATGAAAAGATGAAAAATTGACTAGAGAAGAAAATTGGAATGAGCTAATTTACAAAAGAAAATGAACAAACCATGGCCAGGTAACTCTGAATAAGATTAACTGCTACACATTTCCTTCCTCTTTGGAATTTTTATCTTATTTAGACTTCTATTCCACTTTTCTATGTAACGGTGCTATACTCTTATAAACTGTGATTCCACTCTTACGTAAGTTTGCTAGCTGGGTGTTAAGCGAGATCCTCTGTTTGCATAAAGTGGTATATCACTATCAACTTTGTATTGTTACTCAAATTTAAGCCAGCCGAGGATTTGCTCCATTGACTTTCATGGATTTATTTTTAATTTATTACTCTGAGTTCAGAATCAAGTGCTCTGGATATAAATCTTGAACATAAATAGACAATTTCCAAATCTAAACAGTATAGCCACAAGTACCATACAGAAAAACAAGCTAGGCATGTATAGAACTGTCTGAAAAGTTAACCAAATGCTGCTGTGCATTTGTTAGTAGTTTACTGTTTATTAAACAATAAATCAAGGTCCAAAAAACCTAATTAATTTAAATGAAGTATTGTTTAGTGAAATAGGAGCCTGTCAAAATAGGTGTTGGGGAGGACAATTAATTGGTACAAATGTGAGTGCAAATTTTGTTTTTAAACTTTAAAGCATGTCGTTTGTAGTATACAACGTATGTGCACAATACAAATTTCATACATTTTCCTCAGTGACAATAAAAAGCGCAGTTTATTATAAACTGAAGTAAAAATTAAAATTAAAAAAAAAAAATAAAATCACAGTTTTGTCATTGGTATGTGAAGGTTGTTCCAAGGGCCCATCCAGAGCTCCTCTTCATCTGACTGTGTGTGTTCACTGTGCGACTCCAAGGGCTCTTTGACATCCTCATTATCAACAACTGATTCTTGCTCTTCTGTGCTTTTCATTTTGGAGCCCCCTGGCTTTGTTACTATATTTTCGGCCCCTATAGTAGAGGAAGCAAATGAGACACTGCAAGGTCTTGTGTTCATTTTATCACTAGATGTTCCCTTTGACAACGTGTTCAGTGGGACATTCTCCTCGTGTGTCACTGCAAGCTTGTCCAGTTTCTTGAATTGTTTCCCCAGCCTCACTGGAGATGTGACTTTTAAATTATTACCAAGGCAAACGCGACGGGTTCTGACAATAGAGCCATTCTGTGCAATGTAGATGTTACCATTGATGTTGTTTTGAATATTTGGGTTATTAAGACGATTCCTCTGGCTGGAATCGGGAGCACTGTCTTCTCCAGTGGAGCTGGTCTCATACTCCGGGTCGACTATCAACTTGATCCTTTTCTTTCTGGCCCACTGTTTGACAATAAATAGAAATGTCATTAAATCTCAGCACTATTTCTTGCAGTTTCCTGCCCTTTTTCTATCTGTTATCTAGACACTCATATGAATTTTTATCAACTTGGTCTTTTGTACCCCTCCTTTCAGGTTGTACACAGATAATTCTTAATTGTTTTGATTACCACTGTGTGCCACTTTGCGTGAACGTGCAAACAATTCTTTGTACTAAAAAGTTATAAGAAAGACAAACTCATTTCAGTTTGTGAACTGCATAATGCGAGTCAGAGTGTATAAAAACTATGATGTTTTTCTTCAGGTTTGGAAAGTAGTGACAAATTTGTGGTGTGGGTTTTTTTTTTTTTAAAAGATGCATTCAATTCTGCTCTCGTCAAGTCATAGTGCACCTTCTTTGGAGAATTCTGAGGATGGAGACATTACTTTCTGAAAGAAAACTTCTGTAAATCACAATATTGGTAAGCCAGTCATATTTTGACAAAGCAATGTCTCAGTCTGTCTTACAAAGAGAGATGAAAACCAACTAGATAAATTACCCTTTCCAACAGAAACTGGAAGGCACTGATGATGAAGCCATTGTGTAAGTGATACTTCTAAGAAACTACTGTACTAATGGGTAAATGCTAGGAAGGCCTTAGAAGTTTTCTTCCAGAGTATTACTACATTGAAAATTCAGTGCAGAAATGGCATTGAGCAGGTCCGTTTTACATGCACAACACATCAAGCAGAGAAAGATCTCAGAACCTACACAAGGGAAATTCTCAGGCATGAGGTTGGCAAAATTGGCTGGTTAAAAAAAGAAAAGCTTGATATAAGGCTTTGTGCCAGTTCCAGTCTAGTGGGATCAATGGAGATGCTTTGCTATTAAATGGAAGATGGTGGAAAAATGAGACTTTAGATTTTATATAATTTATATATTTTTTTAAGAGTTAGTGCAAACAATTTCCATGTTGCTGTGACTTTGTACTAATAATGATTACACAAAACTCATTACTTATTTTAATTTATAATTGATCTTTTTAAAATAAATGCCTCCTTGCAGTACACTGAAACAAGCTACTATCATTCTTGAGTTAATAATGAAAACACTGTTATTTCACTAAGGCAGCAGATACCACCACAGTTAACTCCCACTGCAATACATACACATGCACACAAGAAAAGCCAGATTTTAGAGAAAGAAAATCATGCAAGGTACAAATGGGTGGTGATTACTCTTAAGCTTTTGAGAAGTTACACTTTGTACAAATTACTTAGAGGCCTATTCTTTTGTTCCTGATAAAGACATACAATCTTCTTCACACAGATATATTCAGGTGGATGAAAAGACTGACTAGTTTAAATGGGATTTACATTAAAACACCGGGTGCAGCTACAACTTTGTGCTATATGGGAAAACAAAAAAGTAGGTAAGGGATCATAAATCTAGTTCACATTTCAACTGGAATTAAAGACAGTAGTTGAAAAGTTAGTGTCAGGCTTTGCAGCTCAACACCAATTGTCCTGCCAGCCTAACTCCACAGCAGGCTCAAGTATCTTAAAAATTCAAACGTTTTTCTCTCCCCCATCTAACAGAGAATTCCTGGCAAAGCTTTCGTGTATATGCCAGAATTTGTACTAGCTTTAAAGTACTCACTCACAAGACTAATCCAATACTGGCTCAAAGCTTTAATTTTATTCAGGCTTCTTACAGCTTATCTGGATAAATCTAGTGGTTAAGAAACAGCTCTGTGGCTTTTGATACAAGGTAAGTAAAGCACAGATAGCTTAGGTGTATACAAAGCTTGCATACCCTCTGTGCTGACAGCACGGATAAAAGCTCCACGAGGAGGTACATCATGCAGAGGTTGTTTCTTATTTGACAACACAAAGGCCACTTGCGCTCTCAATAACAAAGGTCCTTCCTACGTAATCACACTCATTCTGAGCAGAACTGTGCTAATGAAAGTGCTACAAGATTTCTCTATTGAATGACATCAGATATTCCAGGTAATTGAATTTTAAAAGGCAGATACCAAAATACAGAACATAGGTGATTGTTACCTTCAGCAACACTTTGCTGTTTCACATCTCAAACTTTTAAACAGATGATTAAAAAAAAACAAAACCCAACATCACTGTACTGTTAGGTAGGAAGGGCAGAAGTTGGAAAATGTGTTCCATTTCTTTTTCTGACCAAGCTCACTTTGTACACCTACCTCTGCATTCCTGTCTTATACATCACTGGTACCTGAAACCTGAACCCCATGATCCAGAAACAGTTTAATCCCAGCTCTGCTAGTAATACTCTGCAGTTTTGGGAGTGTTGCTTTGCTGCAATTTCAGTTGACCTCCCTGCAAATAGGGCTGATGTTTACAGCAGAGAACTCATCTGAAGATCAGCAAATGCTGTACGGTAGGGGAACATAAGGTGAAACCACATATGACTTCTAAAGTCTTTTCATCCTCATCATCATCCCTGTTCTTCACTGAATTCCATGTTTTGCCCCTTTTCCTTCCTGCAGTGTTCCATTTTGTGACAGACATAACCTGCATGAACATAGGGCCCTTAATAGGTTTGTGCCATCAGGTTTGTCAAGCTATCCATCACAGCTAATTCAAAATGCAATGTTACTTTGCTTAACATTGCACATAATGCAAAAAGGATTAAATCTAAGAATCAACACAATGCCTCTTTAACTACATCATTGAAATTAGCAGAGAAAAAGAAGTACTCCTTCCTGTCATTGCTCAATGAAAATTAATCTTTCTATATCCACCACTAGGTATACCTGAGTAGTTTCTCAGAGGAATTATCTTAGTTTGGTTTTCTGTAGTTCTGTCCTTAAGACAGCATATAGGGTTCAAATGCTGAAGCAATAAGCTTTGACATTTTCTTTTTGGCTGTCTCTAGTCAAGTGTGTATTGCTTAGGAAAGACCACACAGAAGGCACAGCAAACAAGATCACTCCTTACTGCAAAACATCCACCTACTGTTGCTCCTTTTTAAAAGGATGTAGAATCACCAGTAGTCTCTGACTCTGTAACGGCAGTATCCAGGGTCTCATGTGATTGAGACCGACTGTTTTCCTGGGACATCTTTTTTCTTATTTTCTTTCTTTTCATATTGGTGTCTGAACTTTGATTCTCAGTATCAGGGGAAGTAGCAGTTTTACCAGAAGTGGCACTAGTTGTGCTTTTTGTCCCTTCAGTACCTTTGGAAGTAACACTGATTTCACTTTCTAGGCAAGAAGATTCATTCTTACTGATAGTTTCCTCCCTGTCACTAGCATCTATATCAACCTCTTCTGTGCTTTCATCCACGCTATCCTCACCATCAATAGCCGATTTTCCTCTCTTGTCTTCTTCAGCAGAAGCAGTTTTTGCATTGGCAGATGTTTCAGAAACTGCCTTATTTGTGTTATCTGCCGTCTTACTGGGGCTTGCGCTGACTTGCTCCACATCTGCTTGTTCATCGTCTTCTGACACTTCTTCTATCGTATCTTCTATTTCAAGGCTGGCAGAAGAGGTTTTGCTCTTATAGCTGGAACCTGAAGTCTTCCTGTAGCTCGTGTCCCTGTCACTACCTGATGCATTAGAGCTAATATTTGATTTCTGGCTGGATTGCCTCGCTCTGCCATGACAGGTCCCTCCCCTACTTTTTATACTGGACCTTTCAGTGCTTCTTCTACTGCTGGACTCGCTAGTCCCTGATTTGCTGTACGAACTTCGCGCAGATGAGCTCTTTGACAGGCTACCATCTTCATCGCTGTCAGAGTCTTCCTCATCATTGTCCTCTTCAGACGAGTCCTCCTCTGATTCACTGCTAGAGCTGGATCCAGAGTCATCGTCAGAATCCCCAAAATCATGCCCAGCTTCTTCATCCGAGTCCACAGTACTTTCAGTGGCTTCATCTTGGTCCAGAGTTACTTTCAAATAGTCTTTATCTTCTGACTCCGAACCAGAGCTACTACTTTTCACGGATGAATCATCTGAGATGTATTTTCTTCTTTTCTTTTTCTTCTTCTCATAATCACTATCCTCGTGTTCACTCTCTGCTGTGATATTTATTGAAACTCCTGATTTTGCTTCTTCTCTTTCATATTCTTCCTCTCCTTTTCCTCTTGCATGCACTGAATCTTTGCTAATAGGCTCTTGAAATTTTCTGGCGACACTAATGCGTTTTAACACATGATTTAGTTTTCTCATTGAAGGTCTGTCATCTGTCGATTTCTGGAAGTAACTTCCTCTGATAATCATGCTTTTCTCACCATCCACTTGGCGAGCTGACATCAACTTGGCATAACTGGAATCTTTCCTACCGCCTTTCACTTTCTGCAGAATCATCGGAAATATCTTTGCTTTCTTCCATGGAGAACGAGCACACTCTGTTCTTCCTTCTGGTCTGTGAGCACTGACTGCTACACGACTTAAATGCACCACTGCTTTTAGTTTCCTTTTTCCCTGGCTGGTCCTATATGCTCTTCCAGAACCATGTCTTAGATCCATCCCACCACCTAAAGGTCTACCTTCTATCTGAGCCCCTGCTCTCTGGCTTATACCTCTGCTTGAAGGACCTCTGCCTTGACTCATCCCCTGCAAATTATGAAAATGGAACTTGATTACTATTTGCAAGATAGTTATTATGAAAACTCGTACCCTAAAATAAGTCAGTAGGAACAAATGCAACATTTTTTCCCAGCATCAAAACTAACTTACCTGTTTTAGAATAGCTTTTTACCAAAGTTATGGGGAAAGTTTTACTTCTAGAACAGGCTGCAAGTGCACAACTACCTTACTCTGCAACAGGGAAAAATATTGGCTCAGAAATGTTATCTCTTCTCATTTAATTAAAACCCATGTGATGGATTAAGAGTCTAGTATTTCTGAAAATTAGATTAAAAAAACCCAAGGAACATTTACGTCAACTTTCTTCTGGCTGCCACTGACATTTTAAAATTTCTTTACATTCCGTTGTGAACTTTATGATAAATTAGTTTAGGTGACTGCTTTTCTCAGTGGAAAATCACCGGTTATAGGCTGAATATTAGTAATACCCCATTTGGTTAACAACATAAAATGGAATTACCTAAGGCTATGTGGATTTTTCATTGAACAAAAAATCTACATTGAGGGAAAAATAGGTGTGGATATTAAAAGAAACTCTGCAATTCCTTTTTATTTCTAGAAAAAGGAAAAGAGGTGCTGACACAAAACTTTACCGGTCATCAGAAAGGCAAAAAATGATTAGCGGTGGAAGAGCCACTTATTTGGTCTATACAGAACACAATATTCTAATCAATTGCAAAATACATTTGACAAGGTTTAATGGTCTTTCATGTTGTTGCAGAGATGGAATCAACACACCAGAGACACTTACCTCTTCTGCTGTTGATCCATGCGGACTATAGTAGTAGCCACCATCATTCTCCACCACAACTTCCCCATACTCATCGTACATTCCTGAAGGAGACAGCAATCGGCGGCGGCTCCCATACTGAGGCAGTTCATACCTGGCAAAAACACCATCATCTCTTCATAACGTGCACCAACATGTTCACGTGCGTCTCCACACACAGCAACAAATACACACACATCCCGAAAGGACAAGAATTTCTTTGCTCTCTTTTCTCTCTACCTTTGAGAAGACTTTTTTTTTTTTTCCTTAGCAGTAACACAATGCAAAACCTCTTCCTATTGCAATTTGCTGCAAGCCCGTTACAACTGGAGGGTGACCCGCATTGCCAGGTCTCTGGGATCAATCAAGAATCCCCCAACTGCAATGACCTTCTTTCCAGGTACCTGATTTTTTGGGGGATCTTTTTTATAATTACGGAATGAAAGAGCAGGTTCCCTGGGATCAGTTCTGGAGAATCCCTGCGAGCTTGTAAGAACAGCAATAATCCCTGAAGTGCTTGCAGTCAGATGGGCATTATCAGAACAAGGCAAGATGATGTTTTCTAGGTGAATGTAAAAGGCCAGACGTTGGCTGGGAACTGTGAGCAGAAAGTATCAGTCACTGAACTCAGGCTGGGGAGCCACAAAAGGGGAGGAGATAATGGAAATTAATTTCCAAGACAGCAGAAATACGCAAATAAAAAAGTGAATATAAAACCAGTATGATAGATGGGGTATACACTCTGCAAGCATAATAATTAGATTCCTAAAGAAGCAGAGAGTTATACAATGCCTCCTCGACTTTAGAAGTTTTGTTGTCAGTGCATGCCTTCGTGGACACAAAGATTAAAGTAATCCTGAGGTGAAGGAAAGTCTCCAGATTAGATGCTGTAATAATAAACATCACCAACCTGGAAAAGCAGCATTTTCAGAAATACATAGGAAAAAGGAAAATATACCCGTGCTCGTAACTGTAGTAATCTTGCCCATAGTATTCCTGCCCTGGATCAATTCCAGACTCCATACTTAACTCCTGTCAAAAGAGAAACACTGAATGAATGTGAACAGTTACACACAGTATGACTGATGAAAAAGGCACAAAGAATGGTATCCCAAAGCACAAACAAGCAAAATAAAAAATGATAATAATTTGAGGAACATCGACAACTGTCAAGAACCATAATGAGAAGACAACAGGAGCTTTAAATGACCCCTTCCCTGGTGTATTCCCTGGGAGTGACTGTTCTAAGTCAGCTAAATGCAGATGCTGTTCTAGTGTGGGATCCTGTACAAAAACCTCATTCTGTAAACTGGACTCACAGCAAATACGCTGTCACTTCTTGTGCCTCTCTCAAAGGAAAAAGCTGCATTGAAAGATTAGGGCTATTTTACATACACTGTTTGTCAGGTCTCTTTTTTAAATGTTTTCTCAACCATCAACATCATGAGCAGCCTTGGACTAAGCTAAGTACTTGTCTGTATCCTACAAAAGCACCAGTGTGTCCTTAAGCTCCTTTCACACACTGCTTGGTATGAGGCTGCTCTGTGGAATACCTCTGAACTGCAGTATTGACACAGAGCACGAGGGCTTGGGTTTTGGCAAGGGACTGCATGTCATCTCTATCTCACAGCTTCCTAGAGGTTTTTCTTTTGACCAATGAATTTAAAGTTGTGTCAGAGCATCTCGTTGTAATTACTTATAATGACTGCAGAAACGATCACCATTCTGTACCACAAAAATACCATCAACAGCAACGTCTCACAAAAGCTACATTTGCTCTATTGCTTATTCTCAAAACGATATTGGGTCTAAAAGATTTGAAATAGAAAGTATTGGGTTTATAATGCAGAGCGGCCTTTGCACTTCACAGCAGTGTGCTAATGCTTTCATTACCTTGGCAGGCCAACTGCTTAGTTCATCTCTAGGTACAATAACCAATTATCAGTTGACTGACATCTGAAAAAAATAGATTGCGGTTGGACAGCAAGGAAATTATTCTGTCTGTGAATATGGACACGAAGCTAGGAAAGCTTTCAGTCTGTGTGACAAAGTCCATGGGAGCAACTAAAAGATGCTCAAGGGGAAAATACCAAGACGCAGTAAATTTAAGGTATTTAATTAAAACAACATAAATGGGGTAACAATGTCAGGACTATCCTTTTCATGTAAAAGAGTCAGGGGAAAAATATTACCTAAGACAGACAAGTTTTTATTAGGAAATTATGTAAAAGCCATTAAAAAAGTTATAGAATAATTAAGAAATGAAAAATACTGGTACCTCTGGTCTGAGAAGAGAAGGTCTCAGCAACTGCTGTTGCTACAAAAGAAAATTAGAAAGGGGTTAATTAAGCAGCAACACTTAAAGTGCAGGTCATTTGTGTTTGAGTTAAGATTGGAAAGAAATCCTAAAAACACAGGTCCTTCAGAGCGTTTTGTACAGGAGTCACCTGGATACTTCCACACTCAGTGAGAAGTAGAACACTGCTAAGCACCTAAGGTAGTAAAATCACTTTTACAGTCCACTACTTCTTTTGCCTAATATAAAATCAAATTCCCAGTTTATGTGGTGATTATCTAAATTATTTGACTCAAGAACTTCTGTCAGAACCCAAGAGAACTATCGTGTGCTGTATGTTGGAGACAGCAGGGAGACAATGGCAGACAAAAAATTATCCACAACAGGTAGAAAGCAAATCTATGGGAATTGGCAGTAAAGTCTGTGATTCAGCTATTAAAACCTGAAGTGATTTGATTTCTTACACAAGCTTCTACTGCAATACCATTGCTTTAATTCTCTGTCTATATTTACATACTTCTGTGGCTTTTAACTGAGTACCTCGCAACCACAAATACACTCTAATTCACAATACCAGTAAGACAGTGAAGGATTATCTCACTCGTTTTCTCTACAGCTTATGTGTGATTTCTTTCTGTATGCAGCATGCAGTGAAAAAAGCATGCTGACGTGAGGGAAAAGACCCCAGGAGGCTGCATGGAGAGGACTGACAGGACAATATGGCTCCTCGCAGGTGTGTCACAGCTAAACATGGGTCACTTTTAGTAGTCATGTTGTTAATTACTCTGCAGCTCCAGTTTTCTGCAAATGACAGACCGATGCACATCACTTGCCATTTTGTAAATTAGGATCAGATTTTCTCAGGAAAATTAGTACCGTTGTCCCCACACTCCTCCCAAAACTTGGTGGCACTATTTCAGCCAAGTTTCTTGGCCAAAACCAAATCCTGAGAGATGGGGAAGTTCTGTATCTAAATTAAGAGACACAAATCAGCTCTGCAAAGGGAGGAAAAATCACAGCAGAACAACAGAAAGCTTGCAATTTGTAAAACACTACTGAATCAGGAGCAGTAGGCTCCAGACACACACCTTAAAATTAATAAAACTGATCCAGCTCTCAGCAGTAAATATCAGCCTTTATGATAGAAATGTATGTTGGAGAACTTTCTAATTATTAAATGAGTTCATTCAGATTTCTGAAGGAAACTCTCCATGTTACTCATTGCTGGAGAAAAAAATGCTGCAAGAACAACAGACTACACTGAGTTGCAGAGAAGGTCTGTGTAGTCCAGTACCAGGCCCATGACAGTGGGCCGTGGCAGATGATTAGCTGTGCCGTAATAAAACACAGCAAGCGTGGAGGGAATTCCCTGGGAAAATCTTTTTGGCAGTTTGTCGAGCAGCAACCTCCTAGTGTGGAGGTTAGTTTGTCCCACGATGGTTACTAGCACCCAGTGACTCTATGCCTTGTGAACTTTTTGAACCACTTTATATTTCTGGCCTCTAAAACACCCAGTAGCAATGAGTTTCACAACATAGACTGTATGGGAAAACTATGTTGATGAGATTAATATTTTAAACATAATTGGGGAACAGCCTTACCTCTTGCTGTGCATATCCTCGCCTAGAAGTCAGAAAAAGAAAAAAAAATATTAGTATTCTTCTGTGAGACTATATAAAGATGCATATAGCCATTCTTTCTGGAGAGAGGTGAAAAGATAATGTAATTAGAAATATTACTAGCAAGAAAAGAAATACATACCTACAATATAAAATATGTTTTTCTTTATATTTGCTCTGGACATATGAATTATTGCATGAGAAAGGCTAGGGAATCTTTGGGATCTTTTCTTGCTTTAGATTGCAAATGAATGAGAAGAAATCCCCAATCCCCAAAAGCCAGAGAGCCAGTGCACCCAGTGGAACACAGCAAAGGGAAAGGGGCTGACTGCTGTGTTTGGTTTTCCTTGCGTTCCCGTAAGAGAGGTCCAGCCCAGTCACCTTCTCTGTTGCCTCAGAGACCATCTACAAAGAGACTCTTATTTCACGCATCTGCTTAAGCAGTGAAACAGTTTCTCTTCTACTTCTGGACTTTCTGTATCCACTCGGGACTTGCTAGAAATTGGCCTGGAGCTTCTATTACTAATTTCTTGTAACAACATTATTATTAAAATTACACATTTCCTCTGCAGGGGGGAGTTAAATTATTTTTGCTATCCATGATTATTTTGCCACAGGCTTTGTGCTTTTGATCTTATTGGAATTTTTTTTGTTTTTGTTTTAATTCATTTTCTTGGAGCCATTCATATGCATGACAAATGCACTTATGTCTATTAAGTTTTCTATTTTCATATTTTGTGCCAGAATATTAAAATGGTTTAGACAAAACTAGGGAATAGCAATTTAGGTCTTAGCATTATTATTAAGGATAAGCCTGGGTTTTGTTTGGTTTTTTTTTTAAGAAGGAAAGGGTAAATGCTCAAAACTATGTTGAGCTTAACCCAGTACACAGACAGCAGTCTAGAGAAATTCTTTAATTACACTTCAGTAAATAATAAAGAACAGAGTAGAAGTCCTTTTAATTCTTTAATATCACCATCTATAAAGTTTTCTATTAATATTCAGCACATGGAACTGATTATCAGCATTAAAATAATGCTGTTGCCCATATAATATAAAACTAACGAACAACGGAAATGAAGATTTATCATCAAAAGATGATCGGTGACTTTTCAAATCCCACTTGAGGAACACTGTATTTAGTTTCCATATCGCCTACAACAATCTTCAGATAAAGAAGGTCTTGTGTTGCACAGAGGA